TGACCCGCACTGCATCCTTTTACTACGATTTCCTTTTTCAGAAATCCTTCCAGTAGTTTTTGCATAATCTAATTCTAATTCTAACAAAATAAGAAAAGTAAAACATTAGAAAACAAATAAACAGAGTTACATTTTTTGCAGTTATATCTGTTCTTCATACACATCTAAATGGAAATGTTGAATACATAGTGACAAATCTGTCCCTCAGCACAATGCTTCCATTAGGATGGGACACATGGATTAAACCATTATGAGGTAGGCTATTACAAAGAGAAAAACCATGGGTTGACTGCCGCTCTCAAATTTATCCGCAATGAGAGTGCGCTCCAATCCAAGAGGGGGTAATTTGATTAACCAGCTCTTAAGGAGCATTTTGGATTTATGAAGTGAACACAATTGAACCTAGTGGACTTAATGAAACACAGGATTTGAGTTGCTTCACATGATGTCGAAACATTAACTTATATCTCTCTCCAGGTAATTCGGGGCCCTGAGGGAAGGATGAGCCACTTGGTCCCTTTCCATTTAGTGGTCGGTCTGTCTCTCTAAAGAAGAAACAGAGCTCTTGTCTGTCAGCTGTGTTTCAGTTATGCTTTATTATTGTATTAAAACTGGTGGTGTGATATTATTGTCATGTTTATTTTATGAAAAATATATCACAGTAACTTTCTGAATGTGGGTGACATCTTACCATCAAGTTTATTGTTTGTTCTGACACTTCTTCCTGTCTTGATGTCAAATCAAAAGACTGGGATTTGCTCATAATCTCTTAAATGTCATAGATGAAAAACAATATTCAGGTACAATGGTTGTTCCGTTTTTATTGTGTGTTTAGAGGAAGTGTTCAATAATTCTTTGTCTTCTGCTGGCTTTGTCGATAGTTTGGTCAATAATCGTCTGGTCACATATCACCAGTTGTGGAGACAACTACAACAACAATTATCTGTCATATTAATAAAGCCGTGCTTTGTTTTATTTGCTTTGTTTAATTGTATTGAAATGCATGGTTGTTTGTCTCTGTATGTCGGCCTTGTGATGGACCAGTGACATGTCCAGGATGTAGCTAGACCTCTTGCCCAATGTCAGGTGATTTCCCCCTAATAATACCTATAATAACCTTATCTATATAGAACCTTTCATAACAGCCGTTACAAAGTGCTTCACAAAGAAGGCAAACAAAATGAAGACAATTAAAACATCTAAAATCAAAGACAGCAGATGAAACTCCATTTAAAAGAAACAGCAAAAGAAAATAA